CATTTGTACTCTCTACTTGGGATACTACTACTTGCTCAGCTGTGTGATTTCGCAACTTGGTTTTATGTATATCGCTCACACTCATATTCCTTGCAGTGAGGACCCCGGCCTCAAAATTCTCTATTTTGGAATACAAGCCTTCGGCACTGGGCCCGATTAAAAAATATATATATACCTGTTTGTGACGATATATAATATATATAAGTCGGTGAAACTCCGACGAAACAGTTTGTCACAGCCCCTCGTTTGTTGTCCTCTTCTCCCTCTCTGCCTACGGTTTACCGGGCAGTTCTATTTGACGATATATATGACGATATATACATCATCATATATTGCAGATTCGTCGTCCTCTCGCCAAGCGCAGAACGACCCCGGTTTCAAAAAAAAATAAAAAAAATTCTGGGCGTTTTTTTGTCCTGCCCGGTTTACCCGGACGGCCCCCCAGGGAACAACCGGCTGGTCCCAGCCCGGCAGGGCAGGCCTGGCCGGGGGGCGTCCTCACTCAGTATTTATAACTATTTATTAGAATAAATTGTTTAAGTTGAAGAAATGCGCATAAACCTAGGCTACCAGCCGGGCCGCCCGGGTCCCAGGTGGCTAGCCCGTGCAACGACCAGGGAAGGTCCCAGCCAAAAAAAAAAAAAAAAAAAAAAAAAACTGAAAAACAAGTACGTTATGCAGAAAAATAAACTAAACTCAAGGTTACATCGAAATTCTTCACCAAAATTAGAACAAAGTAATGTTTTTATTTTTATTTTTTTTAATTTTTTTGGCCAGGCCGGGCAAGTGACCCCGGGCCACTCTGGTAGCCTAGACATAAACATAGAGTTCTGCAATCCATAAACGATACTCTGTCATTTTTTGCCATATGAAGGAGCTGTGGGTTGGGTTTTCTTTGTGCTGAAGCAAGATACGGATCCATAAAAATGTTTTTTTTTCTTCTGAACTATTCATTAGAATGTAAACTGTTTTAGTTTAAGAAATGCGGATGAACCTAATAAAAGGGCCTTTACCCGATTCAGGCCTTGTAAAAGTAAAGCAGCGTGAAGGGGTATCTCACCAGGACCCAGGAAACGTGAAAGCAGATCAAAGGTCAAGTTCTCTGGTCAAAGGGCACATCTAACCTAAAGCAAGAAGTCAGTGCTAAAGGTCATTGCTGGAGGACATACCTGTTCGCCAGGGGATTCACATGTCAAGTCTGTTCAGATAGGGATGTGTCTGTACGTGCAGTCAGTGTGCCTGTTCGTGCAAAAGGAGAGTGTCTATTCACACAATATAGATGTTTGTTCAGGCAGTAAGTGTGTCTGTTCGTCCAAAATTGTCTGTTCGAAAGTTAGTCAATAAACAGAGTCCCAGTTCTGGTCTAAGTCTGAGAAACCGTCCAGATCCAGACGTCCAAATCCAGAATCCAGGCCGAAGGGCCTCAGCAGCAGTAGACCTCATTGGGACAGTACTGG